CACTGCAGAAATAATCCAGTTTGAGACTGCTTTAGCAGCTCTGGCTCAATGCTAGGGAACTCTGGGAACTGTAGTGTCTGTGAGACATTTAGCCTTCTCTGTCAGAGAGCGCTGGTGCCACAATAAACTACAATGCCCAGGATTCCCTAGCACTAAGCCAAGTACTTACAGCGGTCTCAAACTGGATTATTTCTGCAGTGTCCGCACTGCCAGGGCTCCATGTTAAGAAAAGCTGGGAACTGTAGTTTTAGTCTTCTCTGTCAGAGAGCTCTCGTTCCACAACAAACTACAAATCCTAAGATGCCATAACATTGAGCCAGGGCAGTTAAAGTGGTATGAAACTGGCTTATTTTGACAGTGCGGATGCAGCAACCTTCAAGACTTTCCTTATCGCCCACTTCCTCGGAGGCATTGATGGGCTGCAGCATTTAAGCCTGGAGTATTTCTAGAACGGGACTAGGAGTTCAGTGCAGGTAGCTGGGCTGGGATACAGAAAAGGAGATTTTGGAAGGATGGCCCTCAACTTCCAAAGAGCTGGAGCTGCGGCTGGAGACAAAGATTTCATCCTACGCTGAGCTCACAAGCAAAGGAAGAGGAAGAGGATTTGTATGTGATTATTCATAGACTCCAAAACACCAAAGGACACGGATTTGAAAAGGCAGGGGAAAGTTGCCAAGGGGCAAAAAGTGACTATGGGTCAAAAAGTGTCCTGAGAGATAGGACCAGATTCCTGTCTCACCCAGCCTCCTCTTTCCAAGAGAGCATTCGGATGCCCATGGAAAACCCATAAACCAGACATGGAGGCGACAGCCTTCTCTTGCCGGCTGCTTTTCACCAACTGGGGTTCAAGACAGTAATCCACTGCTTTTTCACTGGAGGTTCCATCAGGACTCACCTCCCCCTAAATGTTCTTGCTGCGTGCCTTCAAGCCGTTTCCGACTTATGGCGACCCAAAGGCAAACCTATCATAGGGCTTTCTTGGCAAGATTTGCTCAAAGAGGAGCATGGCCTTCCCCTGAGGTTAAGAGAGTGTGACTTGCCCAAGATCACTCAGTGGGTTGCATGGCCGAGCTGGGACTCCAGCCCTGGTCTCCAGAGTCATAGTCCAACACTCCAACCACTATGCAACCCTGCCTCACTCTCCCAAAAATATACCTTCCTGGATGTGTCTAATGTGTCCTCTTAATGCCCCTAAATGAGAAAAAGCAAATCTAACAAGCATTTGAGGATGGTCTGTGCGAAGTCATTTTCTTGAATGCACACAGCAAAGACTTAATACATAGGCACATCCCTGTCCCCTTCCTAGAAATGGCACCATTTTCTTTCCATGTATCCCTATTTATTTATTTATTTATTTATTTTGGAAACTGCCCCAACGCCTCCAAATGAAGAAGTTTAGGTCCCACTCACTTCAGGCTGGTGCCCAAATGGTGCCCTTTTCTCATGTTAAAGAAAATCTGCATTTGGGAAGACAGAAAATTATAAATTATAAACTTATGTAGCTCAGTCCTGAGAACAGATTTCTTTAGAAGTCTAGATTGTTATGAATTCTATGGTAATATATTTAAATCTCTATAGGAGCAGCATAAGCCAGTGAAAAATGAAGGCTGCTTTTTTTTAAAAAAAAAAATCCACTCCTTTTATGAAAATAATTTTGATGGGTCTGAGCAGCGTTAAAACGCCTCTCTGTTGGCAGAAATTAATATGTCAATTTGATAGATATGTTTGAATAATACATGTTAATAAAATATAAAATTACAAAACGCCTCTCTGTTGGATGGCAGGACTCTGGAAGTGAAAGAGGATAGAGAAGGAGTCTTTGGAAATTAGATTAGAAATTAGGTTATAATGCCATGCACCAGGCCTGGTCTTGTGAGAACTAAACGTAAAATATAGGAGCAAGATGTGTAAGCAGTGACTGAAATTCGTTTAAGCTGGGTAATGTGCTGCTCTTAGGAAGAGTAACACTGGTGTGTTGTCTTGTGCCTTCAAGCCAGCTCCAGTTTACCGAGATGGGTTTGTTTGTTTGTTGCAAGGTTTACTCAGAGGAAGTTTGCCATTGACTTCCTCTGAGGCTGAGAGAGTGTAACCTGCCTCTTACCCAGTGGGTTTCCATGGCAGAAGAGGGGGATTCAAACCATGATTCCCTAGTCCAACACTCAAGCCACTACTGATAATCAAAATAGATCATAATCTCATTATCAATCCATCCAAATGGCACAGAATCCACACTGCAGGATACTGTCGGTCATGGCTCCATCCTGTGGGATCCTGGGATTTGTAGTTTGGTGAGGTAGGTATTCAGCCTCGTCTCTCAGAGAGCTCTGGTGCCTCACCAAACTACAAATCCGAAGAGCCTGTAGGATGGAGTCATGGCAGTTGATATGGTGTCAAACCGCTTTATTTCCACAGGTAATGCTATACTTGCTCCTCATCTCCATCATCAAAGAAGCAGCAGTGGGAGAGGCTGCAATGGCATATAAGAAGACTGCTTCCTACAGGCTTGCCATGAGTGAACCCTTGAAATCTAGGGGATCCCCTCCTGACCCAATGAGGACTAGGGAATCCTAGGAATTGTAGTTTGTTGTGGCACCAGAGTTCTCTGTCTCAGAAAACTACATTTCCCAGATTTCTCTAGCATTTTCCCTCTTCCCGAAAACGAAAACTCCTTTCTGGCTCTGGGGATGGATGTGCCTTCAAGTCCCCTGTCGATGTATGACAAGCCCACGAATTCCCTGGGGCAAGGAATCCTCAAGAGGTGGCTTTGCCAGTTCCTCCCTCTGAAATATAGCTTACAGCAGCTGGTATTCCTTGGCGGTCTCCCATCCAAATCCTAACCAGGGACGGCCCTGCTTAGCTTCCAAGATCCAACGGCATCTGGTGCCTTTCGGGTGTTTTGAGAGGCTTTCAGGTCTCTTCTTTGGTCTCTCACTTGCTACCAAACCAGCCTGGGAGTGGACTGTTCACACAGAGCAAGAGAGGCCGCGAGTACACGTGTCTTTGCGGAGACGGGGAAGCTTTGCACGGCTTGGCCGGGGGCCTTTCCGTTGCCACCTTGGCAGGTTGCTGGCAAACCACGGTCGGTTAAACCAGGCCGGCTCCGAGGCTGCATCCACACTGCAGCAATAATCCGGTTTGACACCACTTTACCTGGTATGGGATTTTTGAGCTGTCGTTTTTGTGGCCCTGAGCTCTCTGACAGGAAAGGCTCAGCGTCTCACGAAACTACAAAGTCCAATAGCACTGAGTCCTGCCCATTAAAGTGGTGCCAAACTGGATTATTTCTGCAGTGCAGATGCAGCTTAGTTTCAAAGGGGTTACAAGATCCTTTTACCCAGAAAAAGGCAAATGAAGCCAGGGCAGACAATCTGGAATTCTGGAGTCCCTTCTTCTTCCACAGGACATTTCTTCCCACCAAAGTCACTGAGAGGATGTGATCCCTCTAAAGGCATTTCCAGAGAGCTGGAGTATTATCATGCAGAGAGAGCTTAGGAGAGCTCCCATCAGGGAGAGTGATCTTATTTGGGTTGCCTGGTGTCCCTTTATTTGGGGCCCAGAAAGCTTGTCCCTTATAGGGCTGGGACTGGGAGGTTTTCCTTTATTAGAAGGGATGTCCTCTATTTGAAGATTGGAAAGCTTTTCCCTTTTGCACAGGCAATAAAGTGTCCAAATCCTTGTATTTTGGATGCAGGAAGTTTACACAGGAAATAAGATATCCAATCACCTGAATTAGGTGTCCAAATCTCTGCTTTTGGGGCATGTCTTCATTAAGATTTCTATCTTCATAAAGACAGAAATATGTGGATCATGTAATTTATGAATGTAGACTATATATTAATTTTACAGAGAAAAAGGTGACTTGTTAACTGAATTCAATCCTTTCAGCAGAACATAAATTTGTCAGTACATAAATCTGTCAGTACAAAAACAGAGGTCCAAAACACACTGCAGAAATGATCCAGTTTGAGACCGCTTTAACTGCCTTGGCTCAGTGCTAGGGAGTCCTGGGAATTGTAGTTTGTTGTGGCATCAGAGCTCTCTGACAGAGAAGGCTAAATGTACTGCAAAACTACACTACATAGAATTCCCTAGCATTGAGTTAGGGCAATTAAAGTGGTCTCAAACTGGATTATTTCTGCAGTGGGGTTTGGACCATCATCATGTTAGTCTGGATTCTTATTTGAGGAGCAAGATCCTCATTTTGCCCACCCCCAATAGCTACAGCCCTGAAGTGCTGATACGCAAACCTATCTGAAATCCAGCTCTTGGACTGCGACTACCTTACTTGCTGATGAAGTAGACTCTGAACATGTCCCAAAACATGACTGTACAAAGGGTTGGCCCCAGGCATTTTGCCACCCAATGTGAAAGGTAAAATGGTAACCTCCTTCATCCAAAAGCTGTGCAGACAGGCAGAAGAATCTTGCTTCAAGGCTTACAGTGGAGACAGTGTCCTTTGCTATCTGTAATAGCAGCAGGATAGCTTGGGAAATATTAAGAGGGTGGTGTAGTGGTTTGACTATGACTCTAGAGAGCAGGATTTGAATTCCAGCTTGGCCATGGAAATCTATTGGGTGACCTTGGGCAAGTCACACTCTCCCAGCCTCAGAGGATGGCAATGGCAAAGTCCCTTTGAAGGAACCTGCCAAGAAAACCCTGTGATAGGTTTGTCTTAGGGTTGCCATAAGTCCATAATGACTTGAAGTCACACAACAACAACTGTGCGGCACAGTAGCTCTTGTCTTTCATTCCCCTGCCATTACAGTGGGCCCTTGGTATCCACTGGGGTTTGGTTCCAGGATCCCTTGCAGATACCAACATCCGTGGATGCTCAAGTCCCATTAAATTCATTGGCATGGCAAAACTGTGTCACTTATATCAAGGTTTACTTTTTAGAATTTATATTTTTTAAAAATATTTTCAAACTGTGGGTGCTGTGGGATCCATGGATAAAAAGGAGGACTGGTTGTATTCTTTATTCTCCAGTGTCTGTGCCTTAGGCTTTTACCTCACTTTACCTAATAGTAGAGATGGCTCTAAAACTTACATTATGCTTTGGTGTACTTTCATACTGCTCTTTCTCTCAAAACTGCTGATGGACCTTCCACGCTACACAGTTATATGATCCCACTTCAACTGCCAGGGTTGCATCCTATGGAATCCTGAAGTTTTCAGGAGGGATTGGGGAGGCAATTAGAATTGTCATCCAAAGTGCTCTATGGCCTCCCTAAACTACAAATCCCAGGGTTCCATAGGATGTAGCTAAGACAGTTAAAGTGGAATCACAGTGCTAGAGTTGTGGGCTGTGAAAGGGCCCTTAGTGGACTTTATTACAGTGAGTGAGAAACAGTGGCTACTAAAGAAATGTGAGCTTGGCACAGTTGGGGTCTGAGGAACCTTTTCCATAGAGTACATCCAGATTGTAATGTAATTTTACATTACATCTAAGGTCCAAAAGACACTGCAGAAATATTCCAGTTTGAGAGTGCTTTAACTGCCCTGGCTTAGTGCTAGGGAATCCTGGGAACTGTAGCTTATTTTGGCAGTTTCTCATTCTCAGAATTCCCTAGCATTGAGCCAAGGCAGTTAAAGCAGTCTCAAACTGGATTATTTCTGCTGTGTGGATTGGATCTGAGTTCAGGGGTCAGGGTTAACAATAAATCAGGGCCTCTGGTCTGTTGAATTGTCTAGTGGTTTCATTATATTTGAAAAAAGGACTAATCTTCTCCAGCAGTGGCATCAACTGATTTAGGGCCAGTACAGACTGCCAGAAATAATCCTGCTTGAGACCACTTTAACTGTCCTGGCTCAGTGCTAGAGAATCATGGGAACTGTAGTTTATTGTGGCACCAGAGCTCTCTGACAGAGAAGGCTCAGTGTCTCAGAAAAAAACTGCAATTCCCATGATTCTCTAGCATTGAGCCAGGGCAGTTAAAGTGGTCTCAAGATAGATTATTTCTGCAGTCTGTACAGGCTAATTGTAGCATTCCCAAAGGATAGCTCCAAAACTCATGCCATTTTGTCAGTCCACATCAACTAGCCAGTTTGAGATGTCTACCAGGAATGGGATTTTTCTAAAGCTAAAGGGTCAACTGCCTTTGAAATCACCCCAAAACACTTTGTGTGACAGCAGAA